AGAGACACTAATTCCAAGATTCTCCGCATAATTTCATTGTGCAGGAGGCCCCCGGTGCTTTTTACTTCCCCTTATGTAGTTCTGTGTGTGTGTGTGTGTGTGTGTGTGTGTGTGTGTGTGTGTGTGGAGGGGGGGAAGGGCTGAGGATTAGAAATGGCACTGCATCTAAGGATTGAGTCATCTCTGCCCCTGCTCCAGGCAGGATGGCCCTTCGCCTGTAATAAAAAGGGAAATACATATGACAGTAGGATCCTTGCCCAGGTCAGAAATCTCAGGTCAAAGTTCACTTGGAGGAGAACCTCATTCCTCTCTTCCCAACCACTGGGGATGTATGTGGGGTAGGGAAAGAGGAATAAGGGAGTGTATAGGGAACTTAAAGACCAGACTCCACTGGATATAAGAAGAAAAAAAAAGACTAAAAACAATACTATGCAACAGTTAAAAGAAAAGTGGCACATATACATATGGCATCATGGAAAGATATCCAAGACATGTTATTAAGTAAAAAAAAAAGAAGAAGCCCTGGCCAGTTTTACTCAGTGGTTAGAGCGGCCCTCAGACCGAAGGGTTTTGGGTTCGATTCCTGGTCAAGAGCATCTACTTCAGTTGCAGGCTCGATCCCTGGTCGGGAGCATGTAGGAGGCAATCAACCATTGTGTCTCTCTTACATTGAGGTTTCTCTCTGTGTGTCTTCCCACCACCCTTCCACTCTCTCTAAAAATCAATGGGAAAAAATATCCTCGGATGAGGATTAACAGAAAAAGAAAAAGGAAAAGAAAAAAAATTACTGAACAACACGGATATTAAATCCTATTTATGCTTTTTTTTTTAAAAAAAAGTATTTCTTTATTGATTTCAGAGAGGAAGGGAGAAGGAGAGAGAGAGATAGAAACATCAATGATGAGAGAGAATCATTGATTGGCTGCCTCCTGCATGCCCACACTGGGGATCGAACCTGCAACCCAGGCATGTGCCCTTAGCAGGAACCGAACCTGGAACCCTTCAGTCTGCAGGGCCAAGCCAGCTAGGGCTGCTTTTTTTTTTTTTTTTTTAAGTGCAAAATATACAGGGAGGTGAGTGAGAAAGGAATGGGGTTATGAAGTTTTCTGTATTTAAATATTTTGTAACAGAGACTGAGCTGCAGACAGAATAGGAAACTCTGGCTTCAGTGTGATCTTGTTTTTCCAGTATTACCTGAACAACAGGGAGACTGGGTCCATGTCCTAAAGAAGTTTGACCTTATGGGACAACATACTATCTGCTCAGCCCATCCTGCTCGGTTCTCCCCAGGCGACAAATACTCTCCACACTGAATCATGTCAAGAAACATTTCAAGGTGCTGATGACCCAGAAACCCAGTCCTATCCTTTGAGGGTCCCTTGAATTTGATGTCTCTCCTGTCTCCTGCTACCCCTCTGAAACGTTCCAAAACCAAGCTCTTCAGTCTGTGAGCCTTGAAGCCTTCTTAACCACCATGCTCTTTGGAATCTGGTGTCATCATTGCCTTTGGTAACGCTTGTGCGAGGCAATCGTGACAGTACCCCCCTTGAAGGGAGCAAGCTTGAATCTTCTTTTCATATTTTGACTCACTGCCAGGTTATTTAAATGATTTGAAAGAAAAAATACATATTTTGCAACAAGTATACACTTATGTATTACTTGCAATTAAAAGTATATTTTTATAGCAAAAATGATACCTTTTAAAGCAGAAATGGGCTTAGAAAAGAAAGGTAAGGGATTCTAGGGATGGAAAATGGGACTTCCCAGGAAAGAACTGTCCCTGATGAAGCTCTTCTCTGTCCCTTTGCCGCAGAACATGGGACTATCTCCTACGGCAACTTGGAAGATGAAGGCGAGGTCTCCAGTCTCCGTTCAGCCCCAAAGGACCCTCATAGCTGACCCCAAGTTACCAGGATGCTCCCAGGGGTCAATGAAAACTTCCAAACATCTAACTGGTAAGAAAAAGTGGGAAGAGGAAAATCAGGAGGAGAAAAAAATTCCCAGACTCTGCAATGGAAGGGTTTGGACTTCCACCTGACTGCTACAAGTTCTCCTTTGGAGGTCTTCAATCCTGACGCAAGCTTAACCCCAACTCCAGGCGAAAAATCACACTTTCTGCCAAGTCACCTGTGTATTCCCTTTTGATTCTAGGGTCATTTTGTATTTGAAAATGTTGAGCTCCAAAGACATGGCCTTCCCAAGGTTATACAGCAAGACAGAGGCCTTCAGAATCCTAACCAATGTTAGTTTTTTTTTAAAATATATTTTATTGATTTCTTACAGAGAGGAAGGGAGAGGGATAGAGAGTTAGAAACATCGATGAGAGAGAAACATCAATCAGCTGCCTCCTGCACATCCCCACTGGGGATGTGTCCGCAACCAAGGTACATGCCCTTGACCAGAATTGAACCTGGGACCTTTCAGTCCGCAGGCTGGCGCTCTATCCACTGAGCCAAACCGGTTCGGCCTGTTTTTATCCATTATACCATGCTGCTCTATTTAAAACCCAACATTTACTTTTGACAAGTTTAATCTTGACCCCACCTCCGGTTCTAACCATAGTGGGCTCAGGTGCTTCTGACCCCAGCCCAGTGGAAATGGCTGGTTTTGCTTTCTGCCCCTCCTTGCTCCCTAATTCCATCCTATCACTCAGAATTTCCCTCTTGACATATATATATATATATATTTTTTAAGGGCAATCACAGGTGGGAGGGAAGGAATAGATTTTGTCCCCGGCCTGAAGTGGCTCTGAGGTGCCTGGCTTTTTTCTGCACCTTGCAGAGGATGACCCTCGGCAGGAGGGCTTCAGGGTTTATACCCAGTAGACCCCCTTCCTCTCCCGCTGAATGTCTTTCTAAAGCAACCTCTTGACCCCAGCCCTGGAGGAGGGCCACAGGTTGTCAGTGGCCAGGATCCCAGAGCCTATGAACCTGAGATGAGGATTTTGAAGACAGATCATGAAAGATAATCTGTGTGAGGCAGGGATGAGTAAATTTGGACAATAGCAGCAGCTGAGTCCAAGGGTCAGTGTCTGGGAGTAATTTAGGAAAGTTCAGTGCTGACAGCTGTGTCTGGAGTTGAACATCATAGCCGAGTCAGCTCCTGGGCTCCTCCACTGCTTCAGGCCAATGCAGCTCTGGCCCAGGACACAGAGACAGCTGTAGTGAGGCAGAAAGCAGGGCCCCCGGGACCCAGATCACCAGGCTCCTGCCAGCAGTGTGACCTTAGGCAAGTCCTTGGGAAAGGAAACTAGTGTCTACTTGAGTGCATGCAATGTCCTTTCACAGATGTCATCCTCGCTACAGCGTAGCTAAGAGGGTCATTTCACCCAGGGGGACCCTAGGAATGTGTGAAGGTAACTGAAATCATTCCAGGGGAGTGGAGCGATCGAATGGGACTCAGGGCTCCTGGGCTCTTTCCCCTCCAGGTACACATCTCATGAATGAAGCCACACATTGTAGGTTCTGAACCCCGCCCTTCTCACAACCTTGGTTCTGAGAGTTGTGGCCACCTTCTGCCTGGCAATACAGTCATCTCACTCTTTTTTTAAAAATATATTTTATTGATTTTTCTACAGAGAGGAGGGGAGAGGGATAGAGAGTGAGAAACATCCATCAGCTGCCTCCTGCACACTCTCCACTGGGGTTGTGCCCGCAACCAAGGTACATGCCCTTGACCGAAATCGAACCCGGGACCCTTGAGTCCGCAGGCCGTCGCTCTATCCACTGAGCCAAACCGGCTAGGGCCAGTCATCTCACTCTTGCCCCCTCTCTCCAATTCTGTTTGTGGGTCTAGGCCCCAGGAGATCCCCCGAAGGCGGGTATTGAGACTTTGGTTTCCCCTCTATCTCTGTTCCCAGGCCTTCTACCCACTCCGGAGGGCCGGCTTTCTCCTCCCCGGTTTTGGCAGGCGGGCTGACATCCACGGGGATTCCAAGGGAAACTGGGAACAGAGTCCAGCTCCAGGCGCGCCTTCCCCGCCGCCCAGGACAGCCCTTCACCGCCGGCCTCAGCTCAGTTCCCAGCCCCTCCCTCGTCTCCAAGCCCCGGAGGGCAGCTCGCTCCCCACCCCGCCTCTGCCCCTGCCCACCTCCCCGCGAAAAGGGGGGCCACCGGAGTCCCGGAGCGAGTCTGGGAGACCCCTGGCAAGTCCTGGCGCCCCGCGCCGGAGAGCAGGAACTGG